CTCTTCAATAAAATGTCTCTAGTTTTTATTTTTCACCCCACAGGAAGCTGCATCAGCATTAAGACCAACTGAAATTCAAGAAGAAAAGTGGGACAGATAAAAAAATATGTGAAAATCTCTTTTCTCTTCCAAATTGTTTTTCCTAGACACCTACTGGGTTACATTATACTGGTATCACTGCAACTGTATTCATGAAAGGGGAAATAGTAATTTCATTGTTAACCTCAAAATTATTTTACGAGGGTTTGGTGAAATGGGTGTTTTAAAGCAATTAAAGAAACTGTAATGAAAATGTGGCACCGTTTTCTTGAGTTACGCCTTTACAAGACTTTGGATAACTCCTGCTAAAGGTTAATATGCTTTATATGAATCTGCAGGTATCTGTCAGACACCACAAGCAATCTGGGGAAGGAATGCTGCATGGCAGAGACATCTGCTGGGTGCTGCTTGCACTCCTCCCACGCCTCGTGGTTCAGCTCTCTGGGATTGTGGATCCTGGGAGAAGCCCTGGGAGAAGCTGCCTCCAGCTGGGGGGTGGGTTTGTGACTGATGGAGAATGCAGCACACCCCTGCCCAGCCACTCAACAGGAGCCAGAAATCTTTAGGCTGTGTGCTGGAATTTTAATGGAAACTTTTGCATCTAAATTGAAGGCTGTGCTCCTCTATCCAGCTGCCTGACATTGAACTGTCAGAGGAAGGCTGGTGAAATCCATCCCTTTCCCAAGCATATACAGCAGGAGAAGATCAGTGTTTTAATTAGGGAAAGGAACTATCAGGGACCTCTGCAGTTTTGACAACGTGCTCGCACTAAGGCACTGTTATCCACGTTAAAAACTGAAAATGAGGTTTCAGATTCTAGCATCTCCTAAATACCTTGCAGGAATCACCTCCCTTCTCAGAGAGACACTGATGCTTCTCTCCACCTACAAAGTGGATCTCAATCCCTCTCCCCCTTCCTCCTTCATAGTGGGAAAACATGGATTGATCACCCTGGGTTGATGGGATCACACTGTGTTTTGACCATATCCCAGCATCCTGAGTTTCAGCTTTAGACTCTGGCTGAGACAATGCAGAAAGCACTCACCCAGTAAACCCCAGAAAGATGAAATCCTGAATTGCACAACAGCAGAAAAGAGGATGCTTTGCAAACTCAATTCCCTTTTCTCCAAATGCAGGGATCCAGCTGATGCAAAGCATCCTGCAAATGAAAACAAGCTGTATTTGATTCCACGCACACCGAATGCTTGAACTGTGTTTAGCACATCACAGGTGTAGGGTTTGAGTGATAATCCCCAGTGTAGCAGGATTTTTCCTGCAGACACCAGTTCACATCTGATGGGAGACTGTTTTAAAACCAGCCTCTGCTCTTACATTGTAAGTACAATTCTCTCCCTCAAGCTACTTGCAGACAAAAACATGTTTACCTCCACCTATCAAAGCACCAGGGGAAAAGAACAGCCCCTTGAAGGAAATTAATCCCTGAAAAGCGTTTGAAATGTTATAAACAGCTTACTACCAGAGTAAACAGATGCACTAAGAAGGATAAACAAGCATTTGCCCAGCCCCTCAGAGGGAGCTGGTTCCACACTCCCTTTACAGTCATTCCAGGTGGGTATCAGGGTCCCGGTGTGTGGTGGCCAAAGTTGTGGCCCAGCCCAGGTGTCCAAGGCAAGCAGCTCAGGACTGCAGCCCCTGGCACTGAAGCATCACACTCAGGCCCCCCAGAGAAGCTTTATCACAGCTTTTCCAAGCAGTTGTGCAGGTCTGAGCCTGCACTGCCCACCCTCAAGTGAGGGTGCTCACATGGACTATGTGCCCTGCCTGCTGTGGCAGGGAAGTGGCAAAAGCACAGCACTCCAGGAAAACAAAGAGAAGCCTTTCAGTGTTTGCCCCAAACACATTTATGCTTTCCTCATGAGGAGAAAGCATAAATGCTCCCCCACTCTGTGGGGCAGAGGCTCCATAGCTTTCTGTCCCAGTCAAATAAGCCTCTCCCTCATTGCCCAATGAATATTGAATTATTCTGTGCAGAATCAAGCTGTTTTTTCTAGAAACACTGAATGTTCCCTTCTGTTCCTGAACAATCCATGCCTAAGTGTAGCTCTCCCTCAGATAATTGAGGAAAATGGAGACAGATGCAAACAAGAGTAGGTAAAAAAAGGTGATACAGAAGACACAGTGGCAATGCCCAAAAACACAAGGGCAAGATCACCAGGATTAGTTCTGCCTATTCTGGAGATGCAAGACAAGACTGGCATCACTGTGCAGAGTCCAGGAGTATCCATGAGCAGGTCCTAATTAGGTCATGGAGAAGACCTGGAGGGAAACAATTAGGCACTTGTGGACTTCTTTCAAGCACATCTGTTGGGGTCTCTAGCTTGTCAGAGTGACCTCGAGGTGCATTAGAAAGTCTCTTTTCCCAGCCTGGTGCTTGAAGAAGGAGTCAGGGCTCTTAATTTCTCAGTCTCAAGGTTGTTAATTGTATCTTATCTATAAAATTCCTTCTCCTGTCCAGCTGAGGTCCATCCAGCAGGACAGTTCCAGGCACACTGCCTGCCCCCGGGGTGGTGTCATCTTTTTATACTAAAAACTATATGTACAATGTTTACAATATTTTCCAATGCCTATCACCTATGTTACAGTGAGCTTCCACTCTAAACCAATCTAAAAGTGACAACATCACAGCAGAAGATGGAGGCCAAGAAGAAGAAGGAGAAAGGCTGGACACACCCTGTTCCCTCCATCTTGCCTCCTGAACCCCCATACGAAAAACCCCAAAATTCTACTTTTCCACCCCATGATAACTTCACTAATATTCTACCTAAACTGTTGTGGCTTGCTGATCTTCATATAAGGTTGGTAACTTGCTCCATGGGTCATAATCAAAACCACAGGGGTCTTGGGCTCTGTGCCAGGGTCTCTGAGCCCCCTGGCAGGGGTCTTGGCCATCCTGCACAGCCAGAGGGATGTCCTGGGTTCCAACACACATCTGCTGAAGACCATGTGCTCAAGGCACTACAGAATCCTTGTGGAGGACTGAGCCCTCAAACTCTGCAGCAGCCCCAAAGCAGCTACAGGGGAGTCAGTGACTTCTGCAGAAGCTTCTGGCAGGGCAGAGCTTTGCTGCAGGGCAGAAAGGCTGCTGAGACGCTCCCCTTGACTTGACTGCCAGGGAACAGCCAGGCCTCCAGGGAGTCAGTCAGCTGGGGAGGCCCTGAGTGACACACTGAATTCGTTAAGCTGCTCTGCTAAAGAGAAACAGAACGGAAATTACACAGGAGAAAAAAAAAAAGGCATTTGAGTTCTGTCCTTGGGCAGGTGTGGTAACAAGTGATCCCAAAGTCTCTTAGAGGTTTAACCTCAAGGACAAAACCCAAAGCCCGGCCTCTGCTCCAGAAAAGGAAAAAATCTCTGTAATGAGGGGCTTGTGTCAGTACTTTTTAAAAACACATCCCTACATATCTGCACTCTGCAGCATCATATTTCAGATGGTCTCTATGTATTAAAAAAAGCTGCTCTTAAATATCAAAATCATGAGCAAAATCCACTTTGATTGTACACCCTGTTTGTGCTAAACCTTTTTTTCTGCTCACCATCCACTGACAGTGGCAAAAAACACAAGGTACCCGCTCATGAGATGGGGAAATACTGTAAACAGCTATTATGAGTTTCCTCCCACTTAAGAATGAGCAAAATTGCAATGGTCCCACTTCAAGAAAAATTATTAAAGTATCCAAAAGAAATTAAGAAAAGAAATTAAGTAATTAGAAAACAGACAGATCATGAGCCATTAAGGAGGCTGAATGGTTTAACCTTTCCATCCCTTTCCAAGGACCTTCCACTTTCTCATGCTGAGAATGAAGCACATCACTATATGTTAACCATAAGTGGAGAATGAATGCATTTTTTACTATTACTTTAAAGCAGTGCCACTTTCTTTGCATATGGAAGATTTTAAGAAGTGAGCTCCTGGGAATGACTTTTGTGTCATGTGTCTTTCCGTCACTTAGGAGAAACAGAGATGCTGGAGATGGTAAGTGCATAGGACTTAGTCTAACTTTTCTTCCACTATGCTATTTGCTACCAGCTACTCATTTATGAATATTTTTTTTCTATTTAAAAAGCTTCTGACTTAAACTTCTGCCTGAAACAGAAACCTGCTCTGCAAGAATGTGAAAATCCATTATTCCTTATGATGAGAGGGAGGGAAGGGAAGGGAAGGGAAGGGAAGGGAAGGGAAGGGAAAAGGATAACTGATGAGAAGCAAACCACAGAGTTTGGTTCCCACTGCATTTCTTAGTGTTTGCTAATTCTGCCCCTCCAGGACGCATTTTAGGTTTCACCTGCATTCTCCTTCCTTCTCTAAGTGCCAGGTGGACAAGAAGCAAATCTCCCCTCACCATTAATAAGAGAACTTGTAGCCAGCGAACTGTGACTTGTTTGCTGAAATGAATATATTTATTGTAAAGTTTTGAGAACCGGTGTGCTTGATGTGTGGAAAGCTTCTGCCTTGAACACTGAGCAGAATGAACAGTGTCTCCTTTGTGAACCTGGCTCCTGGGCGTGTGAAACACACCACGGCCAGGCTCTCCCGAAACCCTTGCAGCGGGGGTTTCGGTACTTTCTAGCTGAGAACCGAGAGGGATAAAGGAAGACATTCCGCTCCGGCATCGCCACAGCCGCGGTCTCTGACGCCTCACCCTGGCCGGAGGCCGCAGAGCACCATAGCGCCGGGGCCCGGGACTTCCGCTCCCAGCAAGCACCGCGACCTCCCCGCTCAAGTCTACGCATGCGCCTTTAAGAGGGCACACACCTCCTCTCCTGCTAACGGGTAACGCGTCTCCCCGCCCATTGGCTGGTACCCGCCGGAACCGGCCGGGCCGCAATGCGCACTGGGAGTTGTGGTTTTCTCACACATAGCAACACCGAAGCTGGCGGGATACGCGTACTACCGTTCCCAGCGTGCCCCGCGCGGCCCGGAAAGAGCCGTCAGCGCCGGAGCCACGGGCAGACATGGCGGGGCAGATAGCTGTGCTGGGTGAGGCGGTGGCGCGGCTGGGCTGCGGGCTTTGGGGGAGTTTTGTTTCTGCTGTCGCGTCTTTCTGCCACCGGTGTCGCCCCGGGCTGGCCCTCCAGGGTGGCACGGACTTTCCGTGCTCGGTGTCTTCCGCTGTGTCCGATTCTGGGTTCCTCTGTACTGGAGAGACATGGGACTCCTTGAGCGGGTCCAACGGAGGGCAGCAAAGATGAGGAGGGGCTGGAGATTTTAGAAGCAAAGGCTAAAGGGGCTGGGGCTGTTGGGCTTGAGAAGAGAGGGGACCTCATCAATGTATTCTTCCTATTCCGAGTAATGTATTCTTGCAGGGAAGGGTCAGAGCAGGGACCAGGCTCTGCTCAGTGGTGCCCAGCAATGGGACAGGGGGCAATGGGCAGGAATTGATGCACAGGAAGTTTCACCTGAACATGAGGAAGAACTTCCTCACTGTGCAATGAAAGAGCAAAAATTCGAACAGATCACCCAGAAAGGGTCTGGAGTCTCCCTCACTGGAGGTATTCCAGAAGTGTCTGGACAAAGCCCTGTGCCGTGTGCTCCGGGATGACCCTTCTTGGGCAGGGAGCTGGGACCATATCACCCACTGTGGTCCTTTCCAGCCTGAGCCATTGCAGGATACTCTGAAAGCCAGAGTGCTCAGTAGCACATTGCTCAGAAATGCCTGGGAAGATTTGCAGCCCATTGCAAGCCAGGGCTTTCCAGCCAGTCTGGTTGAAGCACTACGATGGCCTGCTGGGAAAAAAAGAGGTCACCCGCTTCTTGAAATTTAATTTATTTACATTTCTTGTTGAGATTTTTGTTGATACTTTTTTTTTTTGTAATCATCTGAAGCATTACTTGATGCTAGAATTTTGGGTTTCGTGTGTTTGCTGATTATAAGTAAAATTAAAATCAATAACAAACTCTTCTGCACATAAACTGGTCTTCCCTTGGGTTTCAAGGTACAGGAAAGATTCAGAGGTGTGGCAATACTCTTTTTTTGGGAGTTATGGCTGAAACAGAATTAGGTTCTATGGGTTTCTTTCCCCTTATTTTTAGACTTTTGGTGAAGCTGGAGGTGTTAGGATTGTGAGTTTGTCATTTCACTGTGATTTTGGGTGGCCCCATTAACTCAGTGTCCTTTTGGGGCCATTTATAGGCAGCTCCTGCAGAAGCACTAATTACCCTGTGTTACTGCAGTAACATGCAGAGAGAAACAGAATTATTACAGCCTGGTGATATTTTTGGCTTGGCTGTCTCTTGGCCTTCTTTTTCCTTAATCAGTTTAATATTTAATGCTTTAAATTCTTGACTCCTAGCCGCTCTCTGTTGAGCAGGAAATTAAAAACTAATTAGGCAGCTAACGAAGCTCTGGGCTGTGAAATAAAGCAGCAGGAGGTGCAGCGTGTCACACAGAGAAACTCGTGTAGATTTGTAGGTTTGCAGAGTGATGCCCTAACCCCGCTGTTCCCATCTCCATGTTTCAGGCTCTGCTGTGCTGGCCCTGCTCTTGGCCAGCTACCTGGCACAGCAGTACCTGCCCATGCCCACGCCCAGGGTGATTGGGATCGACCTGGGCACCACCTACTGCTCCGTGGGCGTGTTCCTGCCGGGCAGTGGGGCTGTGAGAGTCATCCTGGACGAGAGCGGCCACAGCAGCATCCCCAGCGTGGTCTCCTTCACGGACACGGGCGTGCACGTGGGCTACCAGGGCCTGGAGCTGGCTGATGCCAACCCCCAGAACACCATCTACGACGCCAAGAGGTTCATCGGGAAAGTCTTCACTCCAGAGGAGCTGCAGAGTGAAAGCAGCAGGTATCCCTTCAAGGTAGGCAGCCTCCAGCTGCAGTTCCCTCCAAGCAGGATGCAATCCAGGCTGGGCATGGAGATCCAGAGCAGCCCTGGGGGTGCTGTGGGTGAGAGGCTGCCATGGCCTGGCCATTGGGAGCCCAGAGCCCCCCGTGTGCTGGGCTCACCCAGAGCCCCGTGGGCAGCAGGGCAGGGAGGGGATTCTGCCCCTCTGCCCCCTCTGCTGAGAGCCCACCTGCAGGGCTGCATCCAGCTCTGGGCTCCCAGCACAGCAAGGACAGGGACCTGCTGGAGCCAGCCCAGAGCAGGCACCAAGGGCATCAGAGGGATGGAGCAGCTCTGCTGGGAGCAAAGGCTGAGAGAACTGGGATTGGAGAAGGCTTTGGGGTGAACTAACTGTGGCCTTCCGATGCCTAAAGGAAGCTTGCAGAAAAGATGGAGAGAGATTATTTACAAGGGCTTGGAGTGACAGGACATGGGGAAATGGCTTCAAACTGATAAGACAGTAGGTTTAGATTAGAGATTAGGGAAAACATTCCTTACTGTGAGGGTGGTGAGGCCCTGGCACAGGTTTCCCAGAGAAGTTGTGGACGCTCCATCCTCAGAAGTGTTCAGTGCCAGGTTGGATGGGGCTCTGAGTAACCTGGTCTAGTGGAAGGTGTCCCTCCCCTGGCAGGAGATGAGCTGGAAAGTCCCTCCAACCTGATTCTCTGATACCTGAAATGTGGTTGATCATCTTGTCAGACTGTGAGTTACATGGCGCAGTCTGATGTGCCTGAAAACAAGAAGTATCCAGAGAGCAGAAGGAAATGGCTGTGGAAGTTGCGTACCTCTGCTGAGGTACACCTCATGAGAGCTGATAATGATTTTCCAGAGGATCTTGTGTTTCCCTACTGAGAAATGTGTTTCTGGGTAACCTTCCAGCCCCATCTCTGAAAGGATGAATTTAAACTTGAAATGTTAACTGTGCTTTTCTGAAACTTTACTTCTCCCTAAAATTGTAAAATACAAACAAACAAAAACCCCAAAAACCAAAACCCTAAAAAGTTTTAAAGCCACATCTTCTCTGTCCCAGTGTGTTTTTTCCTTCAGTACTTTACTACTTACTTGACCAGCAGCAGAACTTGAAAGTTTTTTAAAAGAAAACTAACCTGCATTATATGAGCATTGTGCAGAATTGGTTGAAAAAATAATTAAAAAATTGTGTACTGCAAGTGGTCTTTTCCACTTGCAGTGGAAGTGGAAAAGTGGAAGTATTTTTAATTTTTTAATATTGTTGAGAGAAGCTGTTTCAGTAGCAAGCTGTTTGTTTCCTTTCAGAAACCTGAAAGATAATCTGATGATTAAAAATCCATCCCCTCTGTCTTTGAATGAGGTGTTGGAAGTTGACTCCACAGTTTCTAGGTCTTAACTTTTTTTAATGTGTTTTACTAGGGCATAGTGGGTATCATTTCTTTGGATATACTTTGACCCCTTAAGTGGCATGTTTTACGTAATCCTCCTAATCAGGGAATAAAAGTGGCCCAGAAATGGCAAAAGCACATTTAAACTCTTCCTGAATAAAGAGACTACATGCAAATAAAATATTTGGTGGGAACAGGGTGGTGGAGCATAGGAAGATTTCTCACTTGGGGGTTGTGTTGCTTTATCCTTCTAGATTATCAACAAGAATGGATTAGCTGAATTTTCTGTGACAACTAATGAAACCTTTCACATCACTCCAGAGCGCATTGGCTCTAAGCTGCTGCTGAAACTGAAGAAAATGGCAGAAGCCAACCTTGGCATGTCCATTTCCAAGGCAGTCATCTCCGTGCCTGCAGAGTTTGATGAAAGGCAGAGGAATTCTACCATTCAGGCAGCTAACCTTGCAGGTGATGTCTCTCTGTTCCAGAGTTTTTCTTGGAGAGCTTGAGGTCTGTTTCACTAACAGCAAGGTCTTTGTGGAGGATATAGAAACAGTGAATCAGTGACAGAGAAGCTTAGAATGGATTTATTGTGAGGAACAGCTCAGAACTTCTGAGTACCAACAGGTGCAGCTGGCTAATGCAGACATAGGTGCCTGGAAGTAAGTTTTACTTCAGAGAAAATAGTCCTTTTTATAATCTCCACATAGGGAGGCTATATAGAGTACCCTTGAACAATCATTTAAGCAGAAATAGAGTGCATGGAATAAAGCTCCTTTAGCAAGGTTTCTCTGGAAGCAGTTTGCTTGGGCACATTAAGGTTTGTGATTTTGCCCTGATGCTGAAGCAGCACTATTTTAGGGTTTAGTAAGGAAAAGAGTTCATTGGATATTACTGATTAGGAAACTACTTCTTTAGATCTGACACTTAACTTGATTGTGGTTAAAAAAGCCCAACAAGTAATGGCAAATGTCATTCTGATGTAAGAACTGCAGTTTGCTGAGTGTTGCTTGTTGTCTCTGCTGCTCACAGGGCTCAGCGTTCTGCGAGTAATCAACGAGCCCACAGCTGCTGCTATGGCCTATGGGCTGCACAAAGCTGATGTGTTTAATGTCCTGGTAGTGGATCTGGGTGGAGGAACCTTGGATGTGTCTCTGCTGAACAAGATGGGAGGGATGTTCATCACACGAGCCATGGCAGGTGAGAAAAATGCTTTTGTTTCTCAAGGAGGGGGAGGCAAGGTACACCTCAAGTCACTGTTGGAGGGACTTTTAAAACATACCAGCCATGTCACAGAGTGTTTTCCCAATGCACTCTCAGCTGATTTTCATGCAAAATTAGGTTTGTGGCTGGTTTCAGCAATTAAGACCACAGAGTCATAGTTTTGGCTCTAAGTTGTGCTTTTATTTTATCCGTGTCTGTTAACTTTTGTGCCCACTAGTAAAGTGCTGGTGCATGTTACACTTTCTGTGACCAAACTTTGGGGGGTTGGGATTGTTTCAAATCTTTCTGTCACCTTTGTTCAAACTGGGAATATTGGCAGATCACTGATCAGTGCTTTGGTGCCTCATTGCCTGGGGTTTGGTGCCAGTTGAGCTGAGCAGGGTTTGGGAATGTGCAGGATGTTAACCCAGAAGTTTTGGGATTAGTGTATGAATGGTTCATCCCTGGGCACAGAGCTCTGGCAGCAGTGTTTGGTCACTCTAGTGAAGAGACAGCCATCCTTCAGCTGGCCTGCATGCTCACAGTGCCAGCTGCCTGTGTTGCCTTCAGCAAGCAAGTTCTGATGTGAGCTGCTGCTGCTGCTGCTGCTCAGTCCAGTTAGAGTGGAACAGCAAAGAAAGATTCAGCAGCTTCACTCTGATTTAATTAGACAAAGATCCACTAAGTGAGTTACTGTTTTTAGTCAAAACAAAACAGTGGAAATTATTATCCACCATGTGTGCAGTGGAGAAGCATATTTGTCTGTTGTCTCTGTGAGCTCATGTACTTGTGGTCCTTCTGTGATTGTTCTGGCCCTTGAGCACCATCTCCCAGTAAAAGAGAAGCTGTTTTCTGGGGCTTTGAAGGTGCTCTGTCTGATGTCTTCTATTCTTTTCTTTCAGGTAACAACAAGCTGGGAGGACAGGATTTCAACCAGAGGCTGATGGTGTATTTGTATGATCAGCTCCGTCAAAGGTTTGGTTCTCTGCCCACGCAGAAGGAGGAGATTCACCGCCTCAGGCAGGCCGTGGAAGCTGCCAAATTAAACCTGACTGTCCATGAGGCAGCTACACTGAGGGTGCTGCTGACTCTGCCAGCAAACCAGCTGACGAGAGAACTTGCAAAAAGCCAGGTAAAAGCAAACAGTGCGTCACAAAACGCAGAAGGCCTGAAAAATCTTGGAGACGCTTCCAAAGTAGAGGGCAGCTTTGTGGAAGTCGTGTTTGAAACAGAAATCTCTCGGAAGCTGTTTGAGATGTTAAATGAGGACCTTTTTGAGAAGATCCTCGTGCCCATTGAACAGGTGTTGCTGGAAGGGCACCTGCACAAGGCTGAAGTGGATGAAATTGTGTTAGTGGGAGGCTCCACACGGATTCCCAAAATACGTGAAGTCATTCGGGACTTCTTTGGGAAGGAACCCAACACCTCTGTGGATCCTGACCTGGCAGTTGTGACAGGTGTAGCCATCCAAGCAGGAATTCTTGCTGGGTCCTGGCCTCTCCAAGTCAGTGCTATAGAAATCCCCAACAAACATTTACGGAAGACGAATTTTAACTGAAAAGAAACTCTTCTCAATTGCATTCCAGCTCTCCAAAAGGATCCATACTCATCTGACTGGCAATGGAACATGATCTTAGCTTCATTCTATTCAATTTTCACCTGTTCCCATTAGGTGTTACTGGACACCTACCTGTGCTAAAGCTTGATGTTACTTTAAAGGTACAAACGAGTTCTGAAGTGTGCTGTGTTTACTTGCAGAGGGGATATTGGATGAAAATGCCAGTGATGACACACCCACATTTTCTTGCTAAATTTTATTAGCAAATCCTGGAGCGGTGTGTATTCAAAGTATCAAGGGAATGTGACCAAAGGTTTGAGATGATGTGGTACTGAGGTATTCCTGGGTCCAGTGTATTTCCTTGGAAGGACTGTGAAGCAGCATTAATGCACAGAGCACTGGCAGTGTTCAGCTTACACTTATTTATTAGATTGAGCCATTTGAGCATTTAAGCACCTTTCCTAAAGGCATCTTGCAGCTTAAATGAGACTGAAGCATTCACTTGATTCTTCTGCTGTTCATAACAGCATAATGGTATGCTGAGGCTCTGTGGCAAATTGTCCCATGATTAGGAAACGTTATTGAAAATGTGGCTCTTGCCAGTGCAGTTTCTTGGTCTCCAAGGGCTTCATTCCTGACCTGGCTGTGATGGTTAAACACAGGTGCTGATGTTCTCCACAGAGAACGAGGGTATATTGCCAAATATTCATACCTGCCCCTGCCTTACTTTAAAACTACAGTGATTTTATGTATCTTGAAGCCACACCTGCCTGTCTTCCCTTGAATTTGACCAACATGAATTTCATCATTCTGCATTTCCAAATGTGTGACATCTTCTCTGTGAAGCACCCCAAGCCATACTGTCCTCGTGGAGAAAGTGTGGGACAGAAGGGATGGCCTGGATGAAATGTAATTCCTGTAGCCCTAGTAAATGAAAATTGACCCAACTACTTTGTGCTTTTTAGTTCTTATGTGGTTGAAATTTTTTCATATCCCTACTCTAAATGGAACAGAGATTGTAGCTGTCCTGTTGGGAAACAAACAGTGTTGTGTGCAACTCAGGGTTTGAGGTGGACTCTCTTTTAGGCAAATAGATCACTATCCAGATACCTTGAAAATGTGTTGTGAGGAGAACAAAGTCACAGATGTGAAAAAAAAACCGAATTGGTGACAGTTCTCTTTGGAGGGATTAAGCAATAATCAAGCACCAGCTGAATTCAGTTATCTGCTTGGAACTTCCTACCAAAAAAACATTTCTTTCAGCTAAGACTGGTTTCAACATCCATCAGCCCAGTCTTCATCAAGTAAGCTCTAGTAACAGGTGGTTTTAAGGATTTTCTTGTCTTCTCCAGAATAATTTTGTATTAACCTTGCTAAGATAAAGTGTGGGGCTTAGATTTATTGTTTTAACCTATGACTATATTAAAATAGGCTTATTACTCTCCTGGCAGCAGGCCTGATTTATGGCACTGCCATAAATCAGTTGTGCTGATTCAGCTGTTTGCATAGCTATTGTCTAAATGCATCTTTGAAGTAATCCAATTAAAAACCTCTTAAACTGAATCACAGTTGCACACAGCCACTCCATCAGCATTGTTTAACTTGACAGAGGATTCCCAAAGTACTGCTGACATCTGCTTAATTTTCCTGCATTGAAAACCAGGATTTTTTTTTTTTTAATTTGAAGATTCTTTCCTTCCTTTGTGCCTCTTTGAAAGTGACCCCAACTAAGTGTGGAGCTTCCAGTAAGTAAAACTCCTGCAGTGAAAGAAGTGCCTCTTCAGTGACACCATGGATGGGTGCAGTACAGTCCTCAGTTGCTGCTTTGTAAATGTGTGTGTTCAACATCTGTACCAACTCTTTAGAGTCACTGTGGCCTTTCCTTCTGCCCTGCTGTAAGTTCATCCCAAAATCCACTGGAGGTACAGTAGGACTTTGGTCTTCATGTCTCTAATGCACTGTGTAAGGCAAGCAGACCTATATAAAACAGAACCACTTCACAGAGAAGTTAAACTATTAAAAGCTTTGCAGGTTTGGGACAAGTTAGGTAGGAGCTGTTAAAACTCTCAGAGCAAATAAATTAAGTATTTTTTTCTTTCATATCCTCCTTCACCCTGGGGGAGTTAAATCTCCTTCAGTGTTTATCTGGGAACTGGAAGGGAAGGGCAGGTTGCTTACTTGTACAAACTAAATCCACAAAAGGGTATTTATTCAGAGATCTCTACAGGTTGGAGTTTTTAGTTGAGAAGTTACTATACACTGGATATCACAATGCATCCTTATTTATTAAATGTTCTGAATTATTTATTTTGTGTCTTTTGATACTGTATTTTGGCACAAACAATTGAATTTTAAAGATGAGTCCACTGCACTAAGTGGATATTTCCAGGTATGCACATGGGCTGCTTACCAAAAGTCTCTCTGTAAAAAAGTTGATGCTTGAAGGCTGAAATCTTCCTGTAATCCTTATGATTGCCTGTGGTGGTAGGTGTGTAACCAGTTTCTCCAGCTAAGGCTTGTTTGGCGAGTTAAAATTCTGAAAGCATCAAGAGGCCTCAACAATTGTGTGTTCCCTAATTGTTTCCCAGTGCAGATGATGAAATGCATTTTATAAATAACATTTTAGATTTTTTAAATAAAAGCAATTTCTACCCCTTGGATCTGTCTTCTTTCACTTTCTCAAGGAAATTCTGTCTTCCTCAAATTCCTTTGAAATGTAGAAGATGAAGTTGTGTCAGCTGTGAGAGAGTTTGTACATCTGCCTTGTCTTGGGGAGCTGTAAAGTGTGCAGGGCCTGAACAATTACAGTGTTTCATAAATGTTTCAAAGCTGGCAAAAAGCAGAAGTTACAGTCAAATATGAGGGGTACAGCTCACTGAAAGAGAAGGAGTGGCTTTGCTGACACTAGTCCAGCATTTTCTTTTCTCTCAGGCTTTGCCATTGTTCAGTCTGCAGCTCTCCCAGCTGCATTCTGAAAATAACTGGAAGTGAAAGGTTATGTCAGTCTGGCAGTAAGCACAGAAAGCTCTCCCCAAAAATTAAATAAAGTAAAAATTACCATGCACTGATGCCTCTCCTCAGACTGTTTTCTCTAGACCTTGCAAAAGGAATTGGTTCCTAAGGCATTTATGGCTACCTCCCCTAGCCTATGTGCACATAACTTTCCCTTGGGCAAGAAATTAGGATTGTACTTGATACACCAGGTGTCAGTATTAAACTAATATAACAGGGCTGTACCCAGGAACTTTATTACTTTTTTTGGGTTTTTTTAAGCAGTTGATGGGGGATCTTAAGAGAAGACTGATTACATGTCAGTATTAAATTTCAAGAGCTTCAGGAACTGCAAGAAAAATGGAAATAACTATTTATGTGGCCTGCAGAAGCAGATACACTCAGCTGACACTTCAGGTAAATGTACATAACCTGTCCTGATTCTGTAATTATAGGGAGGTTTACATTAATATTTACCAGCAAAGAGGCAGCTCCACCTGACTGCAGTTTTTGGGATTCTTTCACAATGAGATTTTGTAATGCTCAGTTAGATATGTGAGATGTGGTTTTCAGTTTTTCAGAAATCAAAAAGGAGAACTGACTTAATGGGGCACATTTAATGCCTCAAGAACTACCTAAGTAAAAATGGGGGGATGCATTAAAATTAGCCCCAAGTGACATCTGTCACTGTGTCCACACAACAAGCAGTTTTGTTTTTTCCTGAATGTGTAATCATAATAAGAATTAGTAACTAAATGAGCATAATGTCAGAGCAACTTAGATTAAGTTAAGAGCAGCATGTCAACAGCAGGATTTATTTTTCAATCAGTCTTTACTAATGCAACAGTTTTAGCATATGCCATGAAAATCCATCCCTGCTTCATTCTGTTGTCCCAGTGCCAATATGATAAAACAAGTGATTTGTATAAAATCTGAATTTTAAGAAAACGTAGCAATACACACAGATTGTAGCTGTAGTAAACAGTAATGCTGCAAGGAGCTCTTGAATAAGTCAGTTGTTTTATATGAAATATAAAATACTGCACCTATATATATGTGGAATGCTAGAGATCCTTTGAGCATTCCTTCAGAATTCACTTACTAGTTTTCTTTACCTTCTTATCCCAGCCTCTGCAACCATTTCAGAAAAGGCACTTTTTCACTGTAACAAAGTCTGTGGCGTATCACATTCTAGAATCCTTCATGCATCCAGAACAAGCACTCTACAATTCAAAAGCAGAAAGATTACAGAAGAAAAATCAGCTCTTCAGCCACATTTTCCAGTCCTAGTAAAGATATCTCTGGATTATGGGAACATATTTCAAGAAGTAATTTATTTTTCAAATGGCTGATCAAAACTTACCTCTCTGAATGCATGACTGTGTGTAACCTGTAGTTAACAATGTGCAGTTGTGAAACTCTCTTTTGATGGTGGACTGCACAAAGTTATCTCTGTTTCCATGTCAACAGAAGCTGTCACCTCATCTAGAACCAGATTTTTTAATTCCATAGCAAAGCATGGGCCAGACAGACCAGCTGTCTATGCCCAACACTGTTAAAAATACATTTGAGAAGGGCAAGTCAGGCACATGGAGGAAAGGGAGCACAAGATAAAGCTGAGATAACTGTGGAGCATGTCTGTACTTCTTTCCTAACAATATTTTATGCTTCTGAAAATACTGCTAAAATATGTTCATCCTGCTTTGGAATTTTTTTCCTTCTTGCTCACATATTAGTAGTAGTTAAGGTTGGACTCTTCAACACCCATGGCTGAACTTTGAATCTTAAAAAGTCTTCAGTTTTATATTCACATTATAGTTGGCACTAGGAATGAATAATGTTCAGTGTAATGGTTTGGATACTTCTATATGTTAGCTGTAGTATGCACCTTCCAGAAATGTCCTCCTGAAAATGATCTATCTGAAAAATTCAGGTTGATACTCAGTACGCTTTTGAAGACCTGTCCTTTTGCTGCTGAAAGCTTCAATATTTGTCTCCTTAGTTTAAAGTTCTTTTATTTCAAGTGTCACCCTCCTTGCATAACTGTGGGTTAATGTTTCAAAGTTAAAATTGAGGTTTTTTGCTTAAGCAAATAGAAGAAAAGAATAAGGTCTCTGTACCTTGGTGGGTTTCGAATTTGTTGGGGTTTTTTTTTGGTTGGTTGTTTTTTATTTTTTTTTTCTTGTTTTATTTTTTAAATTTAAATAAATGAGCACTTTTCTACCCAAATCTAATGAGATGCTGCATGAGTTGCAACACCACACCCCCATTCTTTACACTTGAGCTGAAAATAGTCTTGGCTTCTCATACAGCACAGGCCATCAGAATTTATACCACTGTGACCAGTTGGTCACCTCAAAAAAACTTGCACTACCAGAATAGTTCTACTGACAGGAGATTTGTCATTTCTATCCTGATACCTTCTGAAGTAAATTTTCTGGAAGGATCACATAGTACTGGAAAATAACAGCATTAGCACTTCCTTGATAATGTACCTGAGATTTTCACCACCTTCTGAAATCTCATGGAGGAGCTTCTTTGGTAGTGACTGGACAAAATCCTTTAGGTCACATAATTCCAGCACCTCCCACAGTTTAAGATCAGAGTGTTTTCCAAGTGGATCCAGATTTGAAATCTCAGAAAACAAGATTGGGTCCCAAATAGCAGCAGAATGTCAATGCACAATTCCAACATGATCCTAAAATGGGCTGTCATAAATCCTTGCATTAATAGAAGGAACTGAGACAAATAAGGTTGGGAATGGATCTTTGCAAGGGAAATTTTAACAGTTTGAAGCTGGTGAATGGAGGACAAAAATTGTGTGCAGTATCTGTGAGCTCAGTTCTTCATTAAGGTGAATCATAAAGGGCGAGAGATTTCTTGGGCATTCTCTGTGCTCTGGTTTTGTGGCTGACTAAAGGCCTGCCACAGCACATGAATTATTATTAAGGTTTGTGAAGCACTCGAGACTATATTCATGAGCAGTGTCAAGAAAAATTAAAATGCTATGACTCTAAGTTAAATATCCTTAATTTCTTATAGGAAAGATGACATGTTCAGCAACAAGAACACCTGCAGAGATTTATAGACTGAATTAATGCTCCCAGAGATGGTGAACTGACACCTTGACCAAATGCAGTCACAATGGCTGTGACCCAACAGGCATAAGAGGCCAACAACAGTCACTAGCAAGTTACATGTGAACAGAACAGTGACAAATTTGAGGGAGCTCAGTGACCAAACAGCACAGTTGAAGGGGTAGCAGAGCTTGTGCCTGTTCTTCATTTAAACTTCATGTTACTTGCACTAGAACAACATTAAAGTAATTTTCTAATCTGTACTTTAATGTGATCCTTAAAAGCTGTGTGTAAGAGGAGTATTTGGCTGATCTGAAGAAGTTACATGCACACTGTCAGCTTTGCTATTTGCCATGCCCTTGTTTCTGTCCTAGATTTTTACCTTCCTCCACTCTCCTGACTTGTGCAGTTCAACACTCCAGACCGCAACTACTCCTCACAAGCTTCAGTCTCCCTTTTTTTCACCTTTCAGTTCTATTCTGGACCCAGCCTGAAAGTTCACTGCACTGTTGGGTTCCTCTCAGTTCAGTTGTCTGGATGTGGAACCAATGTATTCCATCCACAGTAAATCAGACTCACAACTGCAGTTGAGAAAATACTGTGTAATTACACACTAAAATTTCAGTAA